TAAAAAATCTCAATTTCAATATGGATTTACTTATGATGAATGAATGTATACATACATAAATAATAGGTATAAACCTATCCATTTAAACAACAATAATCTTTTGATGAAGAGCTTTAATCTAAAGAGGTAAGGAAGTGCTAAGTTCGGATGTTACCGAACACCTTATAATCTCGCAATTTTCACGGATCAAAGCAATCCTATCCATTTAAACAACAATAATCTTTTGATGAAGAGCTTTAATCTAAAGAGGTAAGGAAGTGCTAAGTTCGGATGTTACCGAACACCTTATAATCTCGCAATTTTCACGGATCAAAGCAAGGATCAAGTAAATTCTTTCCGGTGCTGACGAAACATTAAAATAAATGAGTAGGAATTCAGCATTTATAGTTCGACGGAACATACAGTCATATTTTGCATCTTGTTAACTTTTCTTATTATATATTATTCTATAGGTCGTAGACTCAGTTAGTTGCATTACTACATTTCCTTCGTGTCCGAGATATTTATATATATTATATCATAAAATTCCCCTGATTAACCCACATAAAATATAAATATGTGATGTAAACTGAAACCCGAAAAGGCTAAACTTAATATATTGGGTAGAACAGCAAAGGGTCAAACAGCAAAACAGAAATCATTGTATCATGGCTATCAGATTATGTTAAAAAAAACACACACACACACAATAACTTAATTACGGCTTACGGTCAGAGGTAATATATGAAACCTCTCTATCGGGTGAATTTTGGTTAAGTTAAGTTCTGGACTGAATGCATTAACTTTTGACATTACTTCAGTATACTTGATCGATATATTTGATATAAAGTCTGCTTGAATAATTTAAATCATTTTTGGTACTATACGGAAACAGGGGTAATTCGTGGACCGATGTTATACCTTTTCAACACTAAACTATAGTATATTCTACATTATACGTTAACTTAATTTTGCCAAGATATCTTACATATTGATCGATATGATAAATATTGTAACGGATTTACTACAAGTATATAAGTCGTCTACGCTGAACTCTTCTTTGAGTCCGAGCACTGGAGTAAATGTTAAATAATAACCACAATTTAATGGTTATATACTTTATTTATTTCTGAGCGAATAATTTCATGCTTTGTAATTCGTTACTCGATTTTTCCGCTTTTTGCTTCTTACTCATTTACACTTTACTCGGCAACACTCTAATTGGGAACTGTCTGGCTGGTTGATTCTGGTTAATTATCGTTCAGTCTATTTAATATCGCATTTGTGACCGCAACACTGCCCTCCACCTAAGTCTGATTGTCCCGATTGTACATATTTGCCAAACACTGTAAGCAGTTACAGGGTTGAGTCGTTTAATAACTTGGTACAGCCCTATCCGACTACACCGTAATTTAAGGGGCATTCCGTTTCTTCCTTTGGAGGTAGACCTGTTTTTTAATCTACATCAGTTCGATAAGCCATTAGGAATAAGGAACAAGCCATCATAAATAAGGAATAAACCATCAGGAATTGATTCTTATGTACCACTTTTCTGAAATGCAATGAAAAAAGCTCGATTGAAACATTCTACCATGCCATCGGACTGCGGATGTAATGCAGTTGTACGTGATTTTCTCACTTGGTCAGAATGTAATTTTATTGGGAAAAAAACTTGTTTCCCAATTAATGATGATTACGTATGCTACTGTTTTAGCCTCTTGATTAGAAATTGGCTATTTACTGAAATACCTTTTTGCTTCCTAATTTACTGGTGGAAAATTAACTGGCTACATCCATCGCTATTCGCTTAAGTGACACGCTCGAATTGTACTACTTTCTCTACCCATGACTCCTTGGCCCATTAGCTGCAATACCCAGCACAATTGGCAATCCAACTTATTGACGTCAACCAACCCAATAAAAACTTTGCATTAATTTCTCCAGGGTTTCCTGATTCCCATGTGCCCTTCATTTGGACCGTTGTACAGTTGTTTGAGAACCCCCGACATTTTTACTTTCGGAACAATGATAAGGACCTCAGGAGCTTTGCCTATCTTCGCTTTCACATACTCAATGCATTCAGCCAGACACCAACATTAAACTGTTCCACTGTGTTCAATATGCCTTTAGAACAACTTGCTGCAGTTATTTCTTCTTTCGTTGGACGTTTGTTTAGTTCCACTCCACGCATTACACGTTGGATCTTCCTGCTGACTTTTTCGAAGTTCCTTCGGGCCCCAGTCTTCTGTCGATGTTATTGGCATTAAGCCAATGAAATCGAATCGAAGTCGCTGACCATAAAAGTACTTAAGAAAATGTTTAATGCACTTTACGCACTACAGTAATTCTCTCCGAGTTTCACAATAATTCCACTCAGGCTTGAATTATCCTCTGGCTATAATACGCTGCCAGTCGATGACTTGTGATAAAACGCCCCCTATTACCAGTACATAACCATTTTTTCAGAATTTGGATACCACTTCCTGTTTTTATTCCACTTAAAGACGTTTTAATGACTACGCTGGCTAATGTTGGAATGAATCGTCGATGACAGTGACACAGTCCAAGTAAACACCGCAATTCATGTAAATTTTGAGCAAATCTTTCTTGTATCTACCTCTATGTTTTCATGAGCTATGAGCTACGCAAATGCGAATGGAAAACATATACTTGTATGTCAACATTTATATTTTTTTGCTTTAACAGTCTCTCGCAACCATGATTTTAATTCGGATTTTATTCCGTTGGTTTCGAGTTTACAACTTACTTATGATTCGTTCACACTTTAGTAGGCAACACTCTAATTAGAACTTTTCCTTTTTCCACTCTGACAGCAATTATATAGATTCTTACCTACACATCGCCACTCAAACATGCTGGCAACTCCGAAATTCGATATTGGTTGATTCTGGAAAATTTTTAGTCGATTCTGTTTTGTTCAGGCATTCTGGTCGCTACAACAATGTATGGTATTAAGTCAACCGGAAGCAATTCGTATATTTGGTATATGGGAAATAAAATCAACCGAAAGTCTTAAAATTCCGTTATGTGGACACAAGGCGTGGCCCAATTCGTCAATTTTAACTAAATTTTATATATTGCTCGAGCAGTTCCTGATATACATACATATATCATTTGACCTAAAAGTGGGTAGCGTCTACGTCCATTTTCCAATTAGTACACGGACTCCTATGAAGTCCTAGCGTACCATCAATACGTCTGCCGCATTTAGTAAGTCGTCTCGCCAATCTTATCATTTATGCATACACCATACATAACTCTATATCTATCTCGACTAATCTAAAGTGTTGTAAATAACCGTTAGGTAAACAAAACTATTATACTCCTTTGCAACATAATGCGAGAGTATAAATATGTTATGAAAGCAATGAAAAATTGATATTAATTAAAAAGCTGAGTCTTGAGTCCCACTTCTCGGATCGAATATATTTTAATAAGAAATTAGTTGATTTTTTCATATTGCGTACTAGTTGTAGATGTACATTATAGTATGTAGATTCCATTTTAAATCTATACTCACTCTTTCTTCAACCTATATTTCCGCAATGAAATTAATGGAAATAATTGGATTTCAATACGTGTATTCCCTGTAATAAATTTTCATCTTGCATGGAAATTCACATTCGCACATATTAGTATATATACAAGTATGTATATACTAAGAAGATGTTTGCATGCAGCTCAGTGAAAATTCTCAAATCCATTTCAAATAACACAGTATGACACTCCAAAATACCAGGAAGGTGATGTTATTTTTTTGTAGGTTTTTCGAGAGAACGAGAATCCAATTTTGGAATTTGCCAAACACCTCCAAAATCTCGATTTAAGCTTAAAATACCGATTTTTCGTACTTTTGCGCACTATAAGCCCATAGTTAACTATTTATCACGGTTGTAAACAAATTTTTAAGAGCGTATGGTGAAATGGGTTGCAACATGTCGATAAAAATTCATTTCTTGCATTCGCATTTGGACTTATGTGCGCTGACTAGTGCAGAAAGAAATGGTTATAATCGAAAAATGTTTCGAAGGAAAAAACAGAATATTATTGGTCAGTACAACTTGAAACTGACGATGTTGACCTAAAGAAAAAAACGGTTAAACAACTATATATTTTCATTTAATAATAGTTATTGATAAATTCAGTTCGTTGGCAATTTTTGCCAAAATTTCGATTTTACAAAAAGTTGAATAACTTAGGAACCAATTTTTGAAAAGAATCATTCGTTAAACTCGGTATTAAACGTACTCTTTGAATCAAATCAGAACTCATTTAGTTTTCTTATAAAATAGTGTGTGAAAATATCGCCAAAAGCAAAAAAAGGGGAAAATGGGTAACAAAGTTTAAGTTTGTTGTGTAAAAATAAAATTAAATCTCTTAAGCTTTGTTATGTTGGAGGGGGGGTTTTATGTAAAGAGCTCTCCGTCAATCTTTGCTTTAAGCTACCGGACCATTGTAGCGGTTTTCAGGCGGAAGTTGCCGCGATCAAGGTGGCGGTAGAAGTACTGTTACGAAGTGCAGCTTCGTTTAGAGAGGTGAGCATTCACTCCTACAGCAGAGCGGCAATACAAGCCCTGAGTGCGCACCCTTGGCACGCTCACATCGGAATGGGATCGAGTTGGTTGTCCACTAACGTCTTGCATTCTGGCTCTGGACCAATGGACCTCGCATGCGCTCAGCAGACGCTGGTTCCAAAATTGGATTCTCGTTCTACTCGACAAGACCTACAAGAAAAATAATAATCACATCCCTGGTATTTCGACTTCATTCTTTTTAGTAGTACTGTGTAATTTAATAAAACTATGATATATGTAACATAGTTCAAAATAGGAAGGTTGCTGACTACTTTCGTAGTTAACTAAAGTAAACAAGAGACATTACTAATGACTTTGCAATACTTTCCAATAAATAGTTATACTTTTATTCTTTATGCACAGCATTAACATAATCACACCAATCACTTATTTGTATACTAAAATTCACTATTTTTCTTTTTACAGCTTTCGGATAGTAATATAATATATTATACTCTTTGTTTATAAGCGTAGTGCGTCTTCAGCAGTCTATAGAATTTGAATATAGAACACGCTAAACAGTAGTACTCAAATCTAATGTAGATATATTTACATATGTAAGTCAATTATAATCGAGTAATCAAATCGATCAGACAAGATAAAAGAAAATTTAATTCTAAAGTTCTATTCGTGTTAAAATGTGTTTAGGTACTAACAATAATTTGTACTACTCTAAACACCTAGTTGGAAAATAACGGGATGCTTGATGGCAGAAAAGCATTTTTTTAATTAACACATAAAGTATTACGCATATGTATAAACGAAAATATAACTAATTATCCTTCTGAGCTGTGCGTTGCATATGGGGATACATATTTTTAATTTATTAATATACAAGTAATAATATTAGTTTGTCACAATAAACATGTTAGATATTGATTCCCTATTATATACTTTTGATATTCTAAAGTGATTATAATGGTTTATAGCATAGACATAGTTTATTGTGCAGTGATCGGTGTGGTCGAACATGTCCTTAATAAAAACCAACGAAAATTATATTTGCACTAAAACTTATCTTGGAAGTGGTATTAAATGTATACATATGATGCCCTTTTATCATGTTCACAAAAAAAGTTTAAACATATTTATTATTTAATTTAAATTGAACTCAATCTTTTTATGAAGATAAATACAATAATAAAAAGCCGTAACTTTCTTTCAGTGAAAACACTCACTTACTTGTTTTGATATATTTGTATATCATCTCTTTCTTTTTCACATCCATTTAACGTCTAACAAACAAAAGTAGTGAAAATCTTGAGAGTACATAAGATATTTTTTGCAACTACATATGTACATACATATACAACTTTATGCAGACTTATGTTTTTTTTAAATTTTCAAGATTTTAAAAGCTTTAAGATTTTTTCCATAATATAATAGCGTCCGCTCCTTGCTTGGTATCGGTTAAATTTTCGTCAGTATCATTTAATTTGTTTTATGCACACATGTGTGAATTGAACAATCATTGGAGAATAACATTTAAACTTTATCTGCTTAAGGAATCAAAACTATTTATTTTTCAAAGATCAAATCTTGACAATTTTGGTATCATGATTCTCTTCCACACCGATATTGAGTTATTCATTTGAATTTACTCGTTATATTATATGTGTACCATGAATATAAATTTAGTGTACTACATTAAATTAAAAACGGTTTGTTTGATGCTTTAAATAGAGTTCGTTTTTACAGTAAAAACATATATATCTAAATAAGTAGTGACGATAAGTTAAAAAGAATAGCAAACTGGACTTTCTCTCTCTTGCACCGTAGCTCAAATACATATAAATGACTGCATTTGCTCTAGTGAAATATTTAAAGTACTGCTTTAAGTTAGTAAAATCACCTTAATTGTAAATACGGTACGTGAAAATATTATAAAATGTATGCTGCAGCTGGTGGCGCTTCGCTGGCTTCACGCCAGGCACGTCAACGGCAGCGTCAACAGAAGAAAACTCAGCAATTGCAAGCAAAACTACATCCACCGAAATTGTCAACGTTATCAACTAGTGAACATGGCGCTTCAACACCAACGCGTACCCAATCACGTCAGTTCCACCAGCTGCCGACCAACTATCTGCGCACGCCACAAACACAGAGTAGGAAATTAAGTGCGAGCTATACAACACAATCGAAGCTTCTACTGCCTATCGAAGAAGGTGATAATCAGTCGGTGCTACAAATGCGCGTACAGTATGTACATACTCAAATGCACCATTCTCATAGCCATGCTCATCCTATTCAAGCACATCCACATCCTCACTATCAGTTCGCGCAGCAGCAGCATCATTCGCATGGAAACATTTTCCCGAAGTTGGTTCACCGGCATTCAGGTAGTGGTGCTTGTAGCTTTTATCAGACAAAGCTCCCAAAGTCTGCTACAGCGACACTCCCACTCGTCTCACAAATGGAAGCTACGCCACCTACGACACCATCGGCTGCGGCCGAAGGTACAATTACCACCTCAGCAAAGGTGGGTACGTTATCCGTAGATAATACTTGCATTAATATATCTCACCATGATGCAATCATTGTGACACCGGCCACACCGATGGCTTCGCCAGGGCACGTAGGTAAACCTGAACATCAACAACCCAAAACACTGACCAAATCGGTTAGTAAGATTGAAAGTAATAATATATTAGGAGTAATCATTAACGATGATGAGCACATGAAAGAACCACCCACTGCTCCATTAGAACGCAAATGCAGTGTATATCGCATGCGACGAAATGATCCGTATGAATATCAGGACACAAACTTAATTGGCGGTGTGGGCAGCAGCGTTAGGCGGCAGCTGAAGGATCTGCAGTTTAATCAACAACAACAATACGAACCATTGATTAGCAACGAGTCGCATCTTTGTTATAAGGGGCTGACGAATACGCGTAAATGGCAAGTGTGTGCCTACTGTGAGGAGGGGATTTGCGTCTGTGAACATATCGAGGTAATAGCTAACGGAAGTTTCGCTGATTATGCTAAACGAGAAATGGAGCATGTTTACGCTTTAATCAATTTCTGTTTTGTACATACTTTTATTTGTAGAAATTTTATTAATGTACATATATTTTTGTATATGTATTTAGATCCTTGTTTTGTATATTTAGTGCATGAGCTATGTATGTATGTATGTTATGTATATTTAAAGTTTGCATTTTTTTTTGGTGTACGATAAGCATATTTTTGAAATTTGAAAAAAGAGATGTTAGTATCTGTTGATAAAGAGATGTGTGTTTCGAACTAAAGTGAGAATGTGTTTAAAAGGAGTAACTTTTTTTGCGGCGAGTCATAGTTTGTGATAAAGGAGTAGTATACCGAGTTACTCATGTTTGGTAAACAAGCTTTGTGTTCTTGTCGATAATGTGTAACAAAGGTTTCCTCGTTCAAATATATAAATAATATTACTATAAAGCATAAATAGGCATATAATTTCAATTTCGAGTACTTATTAAAACTGATCGAACCAACCATCCAATATACCTCTGTATATATAGTACATGTGTACTTGTCTGTGACGGACACAAACCAATTGTGGATTTTAAAAAAACACATTGTATTTAGAAGAACACATATTATAATATCATGTCTGTAAAATATTTGTCTAAAAAGATGAATCGGCAAACACGATGTAAAAGGAAATATCCTTCAATACATGCAAAATGAAACTTCACTTAAACATTTGACTCGAAATACCTAGCAGTATTTCATATACTTGTATAAATACTGCTTAGAAACTACTACGTTTAAAACACACATTTTATGATCGTTATGCATTAGAGATCAAGTGTTTATTAAAAACAAGTAAGAAAGGATCAAAGCGAGGGCGTTGATAACATTTTGTATGAAAATTGAGCAAATTAATTTAAATTCATATTCGATGAAAACGTGAACGGATTACAATCATATATTGTATACTTCGAAACATGTTTCGACACAATTTTATGAATATAGCTCACATACTGAGCGACATATTCTGCACAAAGCGTGCTAGAATAAAAAAAATCTAAAATAGTACTTTATAGGTTTTCGATTAACGGTATTTTGTGGGAGTGGCAAGGGACCGATTAAATCTGCTGTAACAACTTTCTTTTGGTGCCAAGGAACACATAAACTAAGTTTCATCTACATAAGCTTACTTTTACTAACATACAGAGGGATGGAATTAATTATTCTAGGTATATGGATTGAGTATCAGAAATATTATATCTAAAGACGCATTTTCACTTAATTCCACTACAATATCTCACACTTTTGAGTTTTTACTACATGTCAATCAGACATAATTATTTCCGTTATTCTAGTTTTCTTTATATCATAAATTCTGTCCATCTGTGAGTTCTATTTGTAACATTGGATGTAATGATTTCTTTAAGCATACATTACTCGGCGGCCACACGTGTTAGTAACAGTTCGAAACATAAAAATAACACAAACATGTATGAAAAAATGTTGTACAAATTAATCAAATCAAGGCATTTTCTTCAACAGTCAGAGTTGTGAATATGAGTACAAAACAAGAAAGAACGCTAACTTCGGTTGCACCGAAGCTATAATATCCTTCGCAAATATAAAACACTTCTTACAAGAACTTAATGATCTGTCAGTTTGTATTTTCAGAATACGTTTTTGATTATTTTTATACTTAAAATTATTTACATCAGCACATACATACTTGTATTCCCAGCGCTAATATGATAAAAAAAAATGAAGCACGTTGGTTACGTTACTTTTGAAATATATTTCTCGGATATAGAGTAATGACACTAAATTGGCACATTACATATTGTATAAGTTTAGATGATGACTACAATGACGGAAATCTGCAAAAAAATTAAAAATTTTCTGACATCCCCAAATATTTCGCGCAGTCTTAAAGTATCTATTGTTCAGCAGAGTATTTCTCCACTTTTTTCTCAACTGTAAGTAGCAAGTAGCAAGCTTTTATGTAATTCGAAAAAGGTACTTTATTTATTATTGGTTTTGTGATGGGTTTATCATCTTATAGGCGCTGACTTAAAAGTAAAATCTTAATCCCCTCTATGTATGTTAAAAAAGGCATACACTGGTGATGCTCTAAAGGTAGATGGGGCATTGTAGTATGGTATATCATTAGTTTCAAAAAAAAACCTGCAATACTTTCAGTTTTTTAAACTTTTTCAGTAGTCTGTCTGATGAAAAACTGTAGAATAACTATACGCATAATAAAATTCACAGTACTAAATATAAGGTACATAGACTAGAAATAATATATTGTACAATAAGTCAAACAATGAAATAAATACGATTAAGTTGAATGTTTATGAAATGGTTTGTTAAGTTAAGTATATTTATAAAATTTGATGTAGGTAATGCGAAGTCATGTGTATTTATGTAGTACAAGTTAAGAACATTAAAGCTCATCCGCTCAAATAAAACTGGATAGTCAATGCAGGCGTTAAAATCATTAAAAGTGAATACCAAAACCAGTGTGCTGGGATATTATTAGACTAAAATTAATTCAGTTAATAAAGTTTGTATTATAAATTAAAGTTTTCAAAAATTGTATTAATTTGCTTAAGGGATATACATATTAAAATACTATCAACAAAATAAAATTATTAACTTTAAATTCTGAACTAGCAGAATTTTTGTCCCATCTAACGTTACATTAGCTAAAATCCCCTAAGAAAAATAGGTTATCGCTTTAACTTTTTTAAGAATGTACTACTTAGTTGCCCACATAAGCTGTGTGTAAATATGGGTTGCTGTTAAAATGCCATTAAGTATATACTGCCGAATATAAATCATCTTTGGATACCTGGTTAAATATGCATTCTTCTCCTCAAGAACAGTCAGTTTAAATGGGAACACGGTCTTTCGAAAAGGCATTAAGTTAGCATCAAAGAAACCATTGCCACATTTCTATGATGACAACTGCATCATATGTTTGTGTTGAAATGACGAATAATATTATCTTTATTTTCTAACGCTTCAAGTATTGTGATGATGGATCTTCAGTGGCTTTCAGCCTTAATGTTCTGTAAGAAACGAAACGATGCAACCAAAAGGCCATCTATATATATTTTGATAACTTAGTGAGGTAGCGTTCAATTGAAATTTACCCGCTTTAGTTTTTTGGCTGGGTAACTTAACTGGGTACTTTCATCAGTGTTTCCACAATTAACTTAATAGAATTTAATAGATTTTTTGTCAGATGGCATAGACGTCTCAAACGAAGGGTGTACACCTAAGTTTTTGGGTTTATATTTTATTAGTCAGATTTAGATAGATAGATTGGAATAGAGGTATGCACCGCGACCTATGTTCTATTGTGCCTTCCCCTAAGTCACAACGACTCACCTAGCCCCACCATATTGATGAACTCCAAAATACTGCTAGGTGCTAGTGACGTGATCCCTATTTCGAAACTTGGATCCAAGGACCTTAATTCTGCTACGCAGTCTACTAGCAGGTGTTCTGGTGTTTCCGGCTCCATGTCACATAACCGGCAATTTACAGAAGAGGCTAAGCCAATGTTGTTCAGATGCTTCTTGAGCCTGCAATGGCCGGTGTAGATCACGGCAAGTAGCCGAAATTTGTTTCTCGGAGATTGATTACATTTTTAAACCTTCTGAGGGTGTAACTCCCATTAACAACCTGACATGGCGCATGCCTTGGAATTGTTGACAATGCCTCTCCCTGCCTACTCTTTCCTCACTACGGAACAGCTCTTTAATGATATGTGGACCAACCGCGATGCAAGGTTCTGATCCTACCATTCTTGTGGAGGCTGCAAAGCCGGCCAGCTCGTCAGCAAGTTCATTCCCGGCTATACCCCTGTAACCAGGCACCCAAATAAGGTGCACTTGGTTGTGGTTTGATAAGCTATTCAGCCGTTCTATGCACTCCTGCACTAGTAGCGATTTGACCTCATAAGCAGAGATCGCTTTTAGTGCCGCCTGACTATCGCTGAGTATGGCAATACTTTTATTACGATAGTTGTGATTCAAAAACTTCCCATGGGAATGGAGAGTTTGGTGTGTGGCCCTGCGACTCCCGCACCAATCCCTTCCGACTATTTCGAGCCGTCGGTGTACCACTTGATAGTGCTTTCCTTTTGCAGTAGGTCCAATGCGGAATCATTCCATTTCTTCTTGCTGCAAAGGGTAACTTTGAACTTTCTAATGAAGCTTACTACTTTGGCACTGCTGTTCGCAGAGAGTGCCAGTTAGCAGTTCAAGTAGATCGTTCACAATAAGGCTCCTCCAGGATGATAGCACTCCACCCTGTGGACAACCTCTTGATGTTCCAAGACGAATTTTGGTATCACCTACTGTGGTTTTAGCTATCCTAGTGCGCAGTACGGCTTCTATCCATCTGCGTACCGGTGCTGCTTCGTCCCTTTTTTCAAGATACGCTTTCGTGAGACGTATTGTCAAAAGCACCTTCGATGTCTAGGAAGGCGCACAAAGTAACCTCGCCGCCATCTAACGAACTCTGGATCTCTGAGGATAACTGATACAGAGTAGTATTTGTTGAACTGCCTGCTCTGTAAGCATGCTGCTTCGTATGTAGCGCTGAAACCTTTAGCACCTTCGATCGTATTTCGTAGTCAATGATCTTTTCCATACTTTTCAGTAGGAAGAAAGTTATTCTAATCGGCCTAAAAGATTCCGCCAATGAATAGTTTTATCCTTCCTATCTTGGGTGTGAAGATCACCTTTGCAGTGCGCTATGGTTATGAGATATATGCCAGCACTAGGCTAACCTTCATCAGCCGAAAAAGGCGCAACAGTAATATCAGCTTTCTCTGCTATAGAAATGGGGGCCAAAAGCCACTTGATGGAGTCTGCAGTGAATAGCTGTTTTGCGATTATCCAATCAAAGCGAGATGGCTTTCGTTCAAACACAGGTTAAATCTGGTCTTCTCGAATTGACTCCGGGAAATGCGCGAGTAGAAGAGCCGAGGCTATTCCTTCTGCGCTGGACGTATAAGTCCCATCTGATATTTTCATTGCTATAATACTGTGACCGTCTTGCCTCTAACCAGAGCTTTATGCAGCCTTGCTGCCTCTGGTGTTGAGGAGATGCTTTCACAGAGCTTTCTGAAGCTCTTTTGCTTTGCTGTCCTAATCTCTTTATTGTAGGCAGTTAGACTGCACCTGTAATTCTTCCAGTTCGCTGTGGGCTTTGAGTTGTTAAATAGTTTCCTTAGTTCTGAGAGCCTACTTGACCACTAAGAACAACAGCGGCTCTTGGTAGTCGTCTTTAGGAGACAGCTGCTATGATATGCTTCTATAATGGACTCCCGCTCTTACGACTTTTATTTCAAGCGTGTCCCTAACAGTGACCCAGTCCGTGTTTCTAGGGATACGCCTGAGAGGGAGTTGCTTGAGCTCTTTCCCCAGTGCGAATCTAATGATACGGTGATCTGACATGGAGGGTTCTGATGACACTCTCCCTTGCGAGATCAATCCTGTCATAGGTTCGTTACCAAGAGTGATGTCCATCACCTCCCTACTGACACTAGTTACAAAGGTGGGTTCGCACCCGACGTTTGCCATGCTTAGGTTCTTACTGACTATAAATTCAATTAGAGACTCACCCCGAGTGTTGCAGTCCGTGCTGCCCCATTCCGTATGGTGTGCGTTGGCATCACATCCTAGGATGAGGGGCAGCTTATTCCTCCTGCAGTACTCCACCAGGTTGCCGTCGGCCTCTGGATGTGTTGTCGGTTTCTCCCCCGGAAAGTAGGCCGCTGCCAGGACCTTCGTTGTTATTTGCCTGCACAGCGACCAGGTCCTGTGTTAGAAACCCCGAAATGCAAAAGAAATCAATATCGTTCTTAACTACTACGCTGGTTCTAAAGCTCTCACTAGAGAGATCCCAGATTACCTTTTTCGACTCCAATTTGAGGCTTCTGACCTCTTCTTTGTGGATCCATGGCTCCGGGATCAACAGTATGCCCAGGCTATCCGCTAGGTCCGTGAGTTCCTCCAGAAGATCTTGCGTGGAGGGTAGCACCCCCCTTTGTACGCCTTTGCTATTCATCACTCGCCAGGCCGATGTACTAAGGCCCTCGTTGTGATCCTTGATGAGCGCGAGATAAAACTCGTACGGTTTGCCTGCGCACCTGGGGAGGAACACCGTCATGCTGCGTATGGGCGTAATGTCGTCTCCCTTCTTTGCGCAGAGGACGGGGCCATTCCAGCCTACCAGAGAGCTGAGGAGGGTTCGGGGCAGAGTGATGGCCTCCGGTCGCCTGGGCGCTGTTGCCTCTTTGCTATTTGGAGTTAGGTGGTCCATTTTTGCGTTTCGCGGATTGGGAGGATGAAGGCGCTGTCTTTTCGCAACCCTGTCTGGCGGTCTGACTTGGGTTACTGGTCGTTGGCTACGATTTCCGCTACTCCGTTTGCTATTGAACGCGGTATTGCCACCTTACCATTTCTCTGAGGCAGGGGAGGCACTATTGCCTCTCACCCTGTGTCGCACTAGTTTTTCGGCTTCCTCCGGAGTTGTTCCCACCTGCGATCATCTTGTCCGCCGGGACACCCAGTTGGTGGTAGAAGGGGTTGTCTGCCTCCCCTCTTCCTTTTCCCTTACGAGGCCCTTCGGTAAATGCCGATTGCGACTGACCCGAATCCGAGGAGCTTATTCTGCTCGAGGGAGTCCCATAACCCTGGTTCGCTTTGTCAGCGCCGGCCGCAGTAGATTTCGCCTGCAGAGCGCCGCATGCTAGCATGTCGTCATCATAAAAAATAGCATAATCAATAAGAATAATAAACTATTTTATATCCATTAGAAAGTCTAAACTGGAATTTCATGATGGACGGAAAAATTGTTATACTAAACTTTAAATTAACGGAGTCAAAAAAAAACGATTCAAGCGACGTTTAATTTTCTTCAAATAAGCCTTACAACAATCTTCGGTGGCTGTGGCTGGTTGAATAAAAAGGGGAAGGACAGCAAGCGGACGCACTTAACCTATCATTTCGCACATTGTGTTTTCAAATGATAACCACATATACAGAAGAATACTACTGCAGTTCTTCTCTAGTAAAGACATTCTGTTTAACTCCCATTATATCTTTTTTCTTTTGCTGATAGTAAATTTCACCTCAATGGAGGTCGCTGAGCTGAATTCTCGTTTTGCATACAGATTTTTTCCGCCTGATGGCTAGACGTTTGAACAAATTTATTGCTTGGTGATATCGCGGTTGAACATTTACATACTTTTTAGTAAGAAGGATTGAACTATAAGGTTTTGGCAAGTCGTAGTTCTCCTTTTCCACTATTCGGATGAAGATAACCGTTACTTCTTGACATTATCCAATAATATTTTAATTAATCCTTCATCTTAACTGCCCTGCAACCTTTGCTGCCAACCATTAGTGTGAACGTGCTGATTTAAATGGATTAATGATGCATTGTCTCAGTTTGTTCTGAATTTGTTCCTATAAATTGGTATATCTAGTCTTTGAAGTCGACATCGCAATGATCGGAAAAGGAGTGCTCTAATTATACCTGCCATACCGATACAAGACATAACGCGCTTCTATTGTTATAATACTTGTATAATAGTAGATATTTTTAATGCTGTCGAATAGAGCTATGCCCCTAACATTACAGTCTAATCTGCCCACACTATGTAAAGAATTTAGTGGATGTCCAAAGAATAAGTTACACATTATTTTTCTGCGTACTCCGTTATTTGTCTCAACTCTTCTGTGAAGCGCAGAGGTATGATGTTGAAGGGCATGTACAGTGCCAACAGAATCAGCGGATTGCTTGCCATTTTTACTACTGGGATATGTTTTGTCAGCATATTTGCCAAATGAAAGAAATTTTACTCTTTTTGAACACAATGCTAGCCCCTGTCTTGCTCTGCCGTTGAAACACAATAATTTAAAATTAACTGAGATTAATACAATAACCCTGCATTCAAAGGTTAGGGTTCCTGGATTTATGGACGTCACGCTGCTCCGGAGGTATTTAGTGTGAGTGACCAATATGCTTTGTTTGCGGTACTCAAGAGCATACCTTTTAAGAAGTTGTCAACCCTATTTTAATAATCTCGGAGGCTCGGAGTCGTTTTCCTGACTCGACAGGTTTTTTATTAAGCTCAAAGGACTTTTAGTGCAACATAAGGCATTTTATATTGCATTTAAGTGAATCAGTTTGCATTCTTTGACGTTTTTAATACTAAGTGTTTTTATATTTCCAATTATTTAATTCATTAGTGAATCATTAGCCTTTAAAAACAGGCCATGGCAATTTATATTATTTTGAAACCGACTTTAAAAAGTCAACCAGTGTCAAAAAAAATCAGTGGATCACAAAAAGTCCCATGTTCATTATCACCTATGTTCTATTGGAAATTTGGTAGATTAAACTCGCCAACCACAATCATCTTAAGGTTTAATTATTGAGATTATAGACTTTAATATTGAAATATGGTGCAAGAAAAACTGATAATATGATATGATATATATGAAATATATAAGAAACTCTAACATTTTTTAAGAAATACTCAAAGCAGATTTCGTGTTTAAGATCTTGATAAGGTCGATTTATGTTGATCTACATCACGCTCAAGGTGGCGAAAACCATCACAAAACCAACAAGACAAGCGTTATTAACCGCTTTTGACAATTATTTAATTCGCTCTTCATATAGAAAAAGGAAAGAAATATTAAATGAAATGAATACTAAAGGTAAGCAAAACAAAGGACTGAAAGTATCGTAAACAGTGTAAAATAATGTGCTTCGTCATGATTTTTGCAATTTTTTCTCCTTGCAATAACAAAAAATTTCATTAAGTGAATAGCTTTAGTTATTTTGTGAGCTGTATTAGCAATTTCTTTTCAATGATATTAGTTCATGGTAAAACTGCTCGCGTTCACAGCAGATAAATTAAAATAGTATAGAAAGTACTTAGGCACTTACGATACAAAATCGTTCCACTTACGGGTTAGTAATTTCACAATGTTTAAGTAATTTCACATTAAAAAAACCGTTTATATCAAATTACATTTCTATTGCATTATTACGAACATACATACATACGAATGAGGGCAGTTCAAATATAATATAATTAAAGAGTCAAAGATATAAACCACATGACATATGTAAATGCGTGACACTTATTTGGTTGTTGAGTCTACCTTAGAGCAATTTAATGTTTTTTATTTATCTTTTATTTTTCCTATGAAAAGAAGTTATGTCTTGATGGAAAATATACCAATATAATATAATAACCAATAAAATATTTTCTAGGAGTCTCGAAGAATTTTAAGTCGTTCTAGGAAACGACGCTTAGTCCGTCAACACCTTAAAAATATGACAAAATCGCAATACAAATTTATGTTACCAATTTACAGACTGTCAAAGCCGATTTCTTACGTGGAAATTTTTGTTTTAAGACAAGTGTATTGCTAAAAACTATGATATCTAAAGCACTATAATATGATTTGTTAATAACTGAATTAAGCACTAATATTTTTTTTCTTAAATTCGGCTTAAAAAATGATTATAGAGAACACACCATTCCATTTTTATAATTCAGAAACCCCTAATAAAAAGTAGTGTGTTCACATGTACACACAGATGTGATTATAACTGAACTAATAATTATATTTGCATAGTTAGAGCGTTACACCACCTCATCGCCTATAGGTATACCTAAACCTACCTCAGTTCAGGATACCACATCCATATTCGTGAAAATAAAAAACAATAAAAATTATATTATAATTAAAAATCAATATTGCATATCAGTTAAAGAACTTTTGGACTCCAATATTTGCTAGTTTTTATGTCGTCCATTATACTAAAAGTATTCGAAAATATAAAAGTCGACTTCATCTTAAACTACGGTTGCCGCAGTGGTAAAGGTGAGAAATTCCGGAGACGATACTGTCGTCTAAGTTTAGCGTGGGGTGTGAACAGAGAAAGACAAGGGGAGCATCGAATCGTACAGCGGTGACCACATGATTGGCATTGATTGCCGAAAATTATAGAAATGAAATTATCATAAATAGTAACATACATATAAATCGACATACACATATGTCTACATAAGGAACATATCATCAAATTTTTAAAAATAAAAACCAAATCCAAAAAGAGAGAAAAATTAATATATTAATAAGGATACTATCGTGTGAAATCAGATGGCGGCTAACGAAGAATTGAAAGTCGAAAATATAAAATTCAATTAAAATCAAAGATTAAGGAAGATAAGTCATCGGCTGATACAACAAGCATATTTTCTTTTAAACTGTATCTGCATAGGTTGAATCGCATATATATGTAAATACATAAATACTACTCAGATACTAAAAAACTTATCAACAATAAACCAAAAAGTAACATCTGTTATCACAACAACTACAATAATTCAGAAGAAACAAGATGCAGGCAGCATTGATGCTAAGATCGAAATCTCGGGTGGCGAGAAGAAGAAAGCTCCGAAAATTGGGTGGAAGACTTGAGTTGCCTAGTAATGTAGCAACAAAAGAAATTGCTCCATTCCCTCGATATCCACCAGAGTCATGGGTAATAAAGATATTTTAATTTAACTGTTTAGTAAAATGCTTTGCTCCAATGGAATTAGATATATTACCTACTGCTACAAACGATTATCTACTCAAATCATGTCAATACTTTATTTTCCAATACAAAACGCCCCTTTTTCAAGTAAACATTAAATTGATTTCGCAGCCAACCTGCTTACCTTTTCACTTGCTCATCTATTTTGCCACCCATTCTAAAGTTATTTCTACACTTAATTCATGTAATAATTTCGCAATCTTACTCCCTTCTTAATCACGCTCTCTACCTCTTTCTCTCTTTAGAATGTAGAACATAACATTTTTAGAAGAATATTCAGAGCACCTAAGTAGTAGTTTTGTATAGTACGTTAATTATTATAATTTACTTTTAGACCAATAACAACTTTATACTCATTAAAGTATACTATATAAATATATAATATTTAAATATATATACACATTCTTATTTTATCATATGTTTTATTAACTTGAAAACGAGCTCAAAAATAAAAAAATTTCTTAACCGCTGTCGGTTACATTTAGCCCTATTATTTTAAAGCCTCTTTAAAACAAGTATTTTTTTACATTAACACATCCATAAACCGTAGATGACGATATAAATGGTTTTAGTAGTTCTCATCTTTTCATAACCCTCTTTATAGGCTAGAACAATATAAACATAAACTATATTTTATAATT